AGACTTTGAGTTTTCCTACACAACCCTGTAACTGTACACATACAAATCAGGCTTATCTATTTATATGGAATTAATCAGGATTACCACTTTCATCTTGGCAATTTCACTGGAGGATGAAATCAATAGCACCCAATCAGTAAAATATGACTGTTTCCACTGCTCTGAGGCATTTGCTCTATTAAGAACTATTCTGCCTTTTAAAAAAATCAATAGCCTGGGGCATTATGTTTCAATATCGGAGAGCCAGAGGTGTGTCTGACTCTGGCAGGACAATCCCAGTGTCTGAGGGCTCTCCCCTCTGAGCCTGGCACACAGAGGGGCAAACACGGGGCTGTGCCCCCACGGCCATTCCCAAAGGCTGCACAGAGGCTTTGCGGCTCTTGGGGCTGAACACCCAATCCACAGCCCTTGGAGGAAGGTGAAAACCCCTCTGGACCCAGCATGGAAGCTGCAATCTGAGCCCACTGAGACCCCTACAAACCGGCTAGGATGAAGTGGAGTTTCCCTTCCACCAAGAGACATCCCAACACCAGCAGGGATTCCTCATGGGAAACCAGCACCAACCAGTTACAGCTCCTCACAGGCAATGCAAAGTGCATTTAGACATCCTGCATCCATAAAACCACTGCATGCTTAGAAGAGTTGGCTACAAACACTGGCACACATTTTCCACACCAAATTATCTCCATGAAACTGGTGATGATAATAAAATTCACTTTCAAATGCCCCATGACACTCAGGCTGATTTTGCCCAAGTTAAATGTTTTTATAGCTTGAAAGCAAAACTTGAGCAGAACATTGCACTGCTCATTGTGTAGTTCTCCTAAACTCCCACTTCATTTCCTCTCTCATTTATTATCACTCTCTTTCCCTTGGCCATGCAACAAACTCCAGTTAGGTGCCTACAGAGTCCCCAGCCTTCTGTGACCATCTCTGGCTGAAGGTTAACCTCGTGTAAATCACAAGGGCATTTTATCATCAGGAACAACAAAATACTCTTATTTGTATAAGGAAATATCTACCATAGGTAACTTCCTTACTCACACTGATAAGGTAACACAAGGTAACCAAGCCAAGCTTTTTTTTTATGACACTTTTTGTTTGCTGCTTTTCACTGTGATGAACACTAGGCACAGGTGTGTACACACCTGACAGCTCTGGAACTGAAGTGTTAGTTTATTAGGAAAGCTTCATAAGCCAGTCAAGTCATTCTCTTAGCTGACTAATAAACATGCAGTGCAAAAGCCACATGCAACCTGTCCATATGGAACAGGAATATCAAGCAGGGAGAGCGGTGCTTAACTGACTTGGGACGTAACCGAGACCTGAATATTTCTGCTCTATTTTTAACCTGGGATATAATTAGAAATAATCAAGCAGCACACACACAACAGAAACAAATGACAACCTGCTGTTTCTAGGGACCCAGCAGATCTGTGCTGCCATCCTCAGCTCTCCATCCCCTCCATTGCTCCCCAGGAGGAGCATCCCAGGCAGCAGCACCTGGATGCACTTCCCAGCTTGCTGCTCACAGACCCCCTCAGGTCTGGGCTCCTCCTGCAGCTCCAGGCCCACCAACTGCTAACTCTGCTCCACTGGGACTTCCCAAGGCACCAGTTTGTCCTCTAAAAACAAAATACATATCAATTCCAAGGACTTCAACAATACCAGGGAGAGACAGAACAAATTTCCTGCTTCTGAATAATCTCATTTGCAATCTTAATGGTGTATACAGGCTATCACAGCTTTCCTATTAAAAATTAGGTGACACCAGCTTCGTTTTTATTTCTAATAATGCAATCTGTATAGATCCAAGTTTTTGTGCTTATCTCAACTCAGTTACAAACAGTTATAGGAGGCAGGATTTAGCTTAATTTGATGCTTCTTCCTGATTTGTTTTATTCCCTCAGCTAAGTGAAATGTTGTCCCAATTCTAAAATCAGCAGCTCATCCTGCCTTATCTGCAGAGCAACCAGCCACAATGGAAAACACACTGCTGTTTGCAGACACACAAATAAATGAAGTTATACAGTTTTCCCCTAAAATAATTCAGCTGCACTCTTCTTCAGAGAGCCATGATGAGCTATTTATAAACAGGATCAAATGTCCCTCCAACACACATGGCTCCATACAAAGAATACAGGCTTCCAAATCTGCAACTTCTGCTCATTTATGGCACTTTGACCCACACCAAAATGCCAGCATGGTTTTTTATTTTTGCATTAAAACCTCCTGATCTGGACATACAAGCAGCACTTCAGCCTTGGCAAGGAGAGCTGTGGGTCCCACAGGCAAAGCTCCACCTGGACCTACAAAGCTGCTGTTCCTCTGCCTCTCCAGCCCTCAGCATCAGCCTGAGGAGGCTCCTCAGCATCCTGGAGAGATCAGGCTTCACCCAGAGCATGGAACAGAGGCCAGCACTGCCCCCTCACATCTGAACTCCAACAGGAGAACTCATGCCATGGAACAGCTGCACCCAAGTCCCTCTCCTGTGAGCACCTGCCCATGTAAAAGCGCGTGGAACATCCTGGATTAAAGAAAAACTACTGGCAATTAGATGGGAATTAAAATGAACTTCATCCACTACACATGCTCTTTACTGAGACAAAGAGCTAAGAGAGCCTTTCTCCCTTTCCTCTCAGTAACTGGTGCAAACACCCTCAGGCAGGGAAAGCCCAGCTCCTGGAGCTCCCCAGGGACCCCACAGGACACATCCATGGAGAGGAGGAGCTCACCTGAACTTCCAAGATTTCCACACTGATACTCCTAAATTCCTGCTCCAATGAAGGTTTTATTCTACATCATCCCCCCTCTGCAGACTCAATTCACATGTTTGGCTCCAACAGACAGAACTTCACCTAGTAATTTGATTTCCTCAAACCATAAAAGATTATTTTAAACTAGCAAAGAGCTACTAACACATCCATAAGACCACTGAGCTGTCAGGAGAGCAGGAATATCAGAAAATAATCACTACGTGGCAAGATTTCTCACATAACAAAGTAACTTATCTGTTACACATGTTCTGCAGATTGAGTTAAACTGTAATATTTTTCAAAAGAAAAAAAAAATCTACTTCAGACCTGGAATCTGCAAAGTTTGTACCGTGTAAGAGGATAAATAAAAATATTCCCATCAACAAGAGTTAGTTCACATGGTTCCATCAGTGGTGCCCAAGATGAGAACCACCGTGGAAGATCCTGCCTGATGTGATTTGAAACAGAACAATCACACCATTCAATGTCACAATTTAACCATTCTTACTTTCCCAAATTGCTAAAAAACACGAATTTGACCAGCAGTTTTTTCCATATTCCACTTGCACAAAGCTCTCTCTTAAAATACCAGGATTCAATCAACCTACAGGGGGTATTTTTTTTTTAATCCCAGCACTCAGCATTCGAGACCAGATTTCTTTCAAGCATCCTACTAGCTTATTGCTGGCAAGAAGGAAATAAAGAAGTTACTTTTTAAAGCCAGCATTTGGCATAACGAGCAGATAACATCGCTGCAAAGCTAAGGAGGCTTCTGTGGTATTAATGGTCTCATGCAAGGGCTTTTGAGAGAGCCTTCTCCTGCCTCACCTGGCTGAGATTACGTTTTCCGTAGCCTATAAAGAACCAGGATTCAATCATGGACCATTAAAGACAACAATGGTAAAAGGTGTGAGAACTACCGCGGCTGAAACGCTGCCAGACCGCTCATTTCTGGGCTACTGCGGCAGTTCCCAGGCAAGTTCCTCTCTCTCCACAGGTTGCCGGTACCGAGTCCGTGCCGCTTCCAGGAGCCCTCCCGAGCCGGGGCAGAGCCCGCCCGTGCCCGGCTCCCCTCAGGGGTAAATGGCAAGGCTGATTCCCCTCAGGTGTGCCC